AGAAGAAGAAGAGAAGAAGAAGAAGAAGAAGAAGAAGAAAAAGACTTTTTTTAAAAAAAATAATTTTTTTATTGTGAAAATACTGTACAGAGGGGATTACAATCACATGAGGAAGGTAATGAGTATATTTCTTATCAAGCATTGTTGCCTCCTCCTCTGTTTTTCCCCTACGATCCCTCCCTCCCTTCTTAAAAGATCTCTACTGCTGTTTCCTTTACAGAAAGCAGTCTTCCCAGTGCTGGGTGACTGTGGCTTCAGTTTCTCAAAATGATAGCCTGAAGTTAATCAGTATGGCCAATAGATATACTCAAGATGCTTATGTTAGTCTCCTACGATCATATTGTGAGGTGGCATATGGTGAACTCCTGGTTGCCTTTAAAAAAAATCTGTGACACACTGTAATAGGACAGGTTACAAATGTCTACAGCTTCTGGTGTCTAGCAAATTTAAATGGACCCCAAGTCTACCTCCTACTCCCCCACTACTCCTCCTCCTCACATCAACATGTAGGCTGCCTTCATTTATATTGCCAGAAATCTCTGTCCAGCTTTATGTATGGATAGTAGTGGTAGTTCTGAAACTTAACCTGCTACATCAAAGACATTTTCTACAATTACTTGTTGATTAATTGCCTGATTCCAGGAAGAGGAGAAAGAAAGTTCCCATACAACTTGTAATATTCAGTAATAATTACATGCACATCTCAGCAAAAAGCTTTAAAGGTTATATGGCTTTTTACATTCACCAGAATTTCTAGTTCTTTTTTATTATTATTTTATTTCTATTGTCAAGGTGATATACAGATGGCAGTTACGTAAGTAAGGTAGTGAGTACATCTCTTGTCAAACTTCTTACCCCCTCTCTAATTTTTCTCGCACTTTCCCTCCCTCCAACCCCCTCCTAATTAGTACAGATAATTTCCAACATATTGTCTTGTATCACTGTTGCATTGATTCCCCTTTTATCCTTTATTTCACCATTTTGTTGTTACCCTTCCCTTACCTGATTGAGATAAACATATATACAATACCCTGGGTACCAAAATCAAATACATTGGAAACAGAGGATAAATCATAGGAAAGAAAAATATGAAAGAAAAAGAAATCACACGATACATTAACAACAACAAAGAAAAACCTCTTGTGTCCATGTCAGAGTTCATTTTATATGGTCCTATCTACATAGCTATTGAGCTATTCTGCTCATCTGCTAAGATTATCCTAGTTGTATACTAATAATTACAAATAAGAGAAAGCATGGGACTTGTATTTCTTTGGTTCTGGCTTACTTCACTTAAGATGATTTTTTTCCAAGTCCTTCCATTTCCTTAGAAATAGGGCGGTGTCATTCTTTCTAATGGAAGCAGAGAATTCCATTGCTCTTTTAAGTTATATATTGAATGGTAAACTTGAGTGAGTGAAAGACAGGCTAGGGAAAGTGAGTAACCATTAGTTTCTTTACATTAAATGAGAGGTTTTTGCAAGTAATGAATTTATTTTTACCAAGTTTTATTCTCTTTCCCAAATTGTTTGGTTAAATGGAATTCAACTGAAAGACTAGAAGTGTGATCTAAACAACACAGTACTTTGAAAAATTTTGGGAAATGTCAATATATTATATGACATATGTTATTGGTGGGGTAGGATCTAGTTTGGTTCCTGTCTGTAGTCACTGTCAAAGAATTACTCTAGGAGACAAGGACTGTGTTTTCAAAGTATCAGAATTTATTCCAGAGTGAAAATACATTGTACAAAGTGACAAGGGCTAAGTTATGAACTGAAGGGGCTTATGGTTTATTTTATTCTCTAGAGAACGGCTTTTAGGATAGTCCGTATTGTGAGTGATTCAACTAATTAAGGTTTGATTACACAAGTGCTAAAATACTCATTCCTGGGATTTAATCCAATTCATAAGCCACAAATACCATTCACAAACAGTTACGAAGGAGAAAATACCTAAAAGGCTACTTGATTTTTTTATAGTTAGGCAAGACTACGAATGATTTGGTGACCAGTTAGGACCAGTCACCTCTCTTTACCCTATTTTCAGACTACCATGGGAACTGGGGTGACAACTACCAAAGAGGCATTTGTTTCCCATCTATCTTATGTCTGCTTACCTCTCTCTTGCCCGTTCAATTTCCTCTCTCAACATGGTTCCCAAATGCAGCTCTCACTCCCAAGTCAAAGTGTGAGTGTCATGCTGGGCGCTGGTGGCTCATGCCTGTAATCCTAGCTACTCAGGAGGCTGAGATCTGAGGATCGCAGTTCAAAGCCAGCCCGGGGAAGGGGAGACCATGAGACTCCTATCTCCAATAAAGCACCAGAAAACCGGAAGTGGCGCTGTAGCTTAAGTGGTAGAGCGCTTGCCTTGAGCTGAAGAGCTGAGGGACAGCGCCCAGGCCCAGAGTTCAAGCCCCACGACCCCCAAAACAAAAAAAGTGTGAGTGTCTAGGATGAGTAGCTCTGCTGTGGAAAGGTTTTGTGAGCTTTTATGGTCACAGAACAGATACAATTCATAAAGAAATACATTAATTAGATATATTCTTAAAGTCCATGGAGATAGCTACAATGGAACAATGGAATCTCTTTTAGTGTTCAGGAGTTTACCTGTTTGTAACAGAAAACATATGTACAAATGTCGGCAATGGATTGTTCATAATTGTCAAGCACTGGAAACTGTTAGAAAGATCAGTACCATGAATGTTGAGTAAGATAGTATCTTTACAGAATTTTACACAGGCATATAATGTAAATTTAAATCTTCGTAAAAATTTCATGAGTAATTGCTGAGCTTTGGTAATAAGAGTCAGTAGACATTTACTACATTTGATTAAATTTATATTCATATGAAAATGCAATGTACTGTTTTATCATTGCAAATAAAGAGGGTGAGCTTTTGTTTAAAAAGAAAGTACATCATCAAAACTTAACATAAGCATTATCTTTTAGGAAAGATAAATGTATTATCCATGCATTATTTTACATTTCTTGATATTAATATTTTCTTCAAGTGTACACTGTTTTTTCCTTTTCAGTAAAATAAGTGTAACATTTACTTGCTATATAATAATTGTCATGTAATTATATAGCCTTACAATATGTTTAAAATCTAAGTATGAATGTAGTATCAACTATAAAAATATACTGTCTATGAAAATGAAAAGGTTATTGTTAATAAAGAATGTGTTATTGAAATTATTTAATTGCTATTGGAAGCCAGTTTTATTTGAGAACTTTTGCATGTAACTAAAATAATATTTTAACTAGGTATAATCCTATTAATCTCAGGAGGCTGAGATCTGAGGATCTAGTTTTGAAGCCAGCCTGGATATGAAAGCCCGTGAAACTCCAATAAATTAATCTCCATTTAATGCCCCAAAGCCAGAAATAGAGATGTAACTTAAGTTGTAGAATGCTAGCCTTGAGCAAAAAAGCCTAGGGTCAGTGTTCAAGCCCCAGAACTGGAACACACACACACACACACACACACACACACACACACACACAAACCACATAAACTTTTTTAGGTGGGCTGTTCATTGCTTATTTATCAAATGCTATAAGACAACAGGGTTTATTACTCATACAGGGAAATAACCAATAACTTTCTGAGAACTGAATCTGCCAAATGAAATTTAAATAAATTCAGAAATAGACTTCATAGAAGAGTAACATTGATAGGTTATAAATGAAAAACAAGTGATTAAAACAGGACTAACATGTAAGAGATATTGTGAATAATACCTCTAATAAGAATACTAAATCCTGGAGTTGATGGCTGGCTCACAACTGTAATCCTAGTTTCTCAGGAGGATGAGATTAAGAGAATTTAAGGCAACGAGGGAAGAAAAATCTGTGAGATTCTTTTTCAATTAACCAGCAAAAAATTGGGATGGAAGTATGGCTCAACTGGTAGAACCTCAGCCTTGTCCAAATAAGTCCAGCAAGATTGTGAGGTCCTCAGCCAAGATGTAAGAAAGGTCTTTCATGTTAATTGCTACTATCTAAACATTCATTACAAAATGAGTGAAATTCACGTTTTTCTTACACATCTAAATAAAGCAACTTACTGGAGGAATAATAATAATAACAATAATAACATTTGAACCTAGAGTGTTACCTTTGAATATTTATCAAAATACTTTATATAAAAGCAGTACCAAAAAGGATAAATCAGGTGGCTTGATAACTTTTAAGTAGATAACTAGATAACTAGTTTAAAATTCTACTGCTAACTTGGTACATAGTATCAAAATCTAATTTGTGCTTCATGCTTTACTAAATGTTTAAAGGCATAATTTTATCTCCAAATAAAGGAATAAATAAAATAGAGCAGCAGAGGTATTTGTGTTAATCTACTCAATGAAACATGTTGCCAAAAAAAATGGAAAAGGAGTTTTAGGCAATTTATTACAAATACTTTTTCAAAATGTCATAATTTCCATTTTAAAATAAATAGTATAAACTTCAGGATACAGTCCATATTGAGTAGGATTCAAAACCTTTTTGCTTCCTAATAAACACAACTTTGGTTTACATTGATGACTCAGGTACATTTGTATTGTATGTCATTGTGTTTATGGACTCGTGACTCCCACGTGAAAGAGAATTTTAGTCATTTGCAGTTGATTAATTTTAGAGCAGAGTGCATTTGCTTCCTGTGCATTGTCAGTCTCATCTCTATTTGTTCTTTTTTGTCTTGTTCTCAGTCGATGCCAGTTGATTAAGAATATCTACCTTCCCAGAACTTTCCTGAGTGCGCCAGCTACTTCTTTGTTTCGGAGGCTGTAGATGAGGGGGTTGAGCATGGGTGTGAGAATGGTGTAGAAGATGGAGGTCACTTCATCGTGCTCAGCAGTGTGGTATGCTTTGGGAAGAAAATACTTGCTGATGGCTGTGCCATAGAAGAGAGACACCACAATCATATGAGAAGAACAGGTTGCCATGGCTTTTTTCTTCCCCAAGTTCGATCTTAACCCCACAACAGTGGAGAGGATTTTCCCATAGGAGGCCATGATGGCCAATATTGGAAGGAGGAGGAATACAATCCCACTGATGAAGAGACTGTTTTCATAAAGAGAAGTGTCAGTACAAACAAGTCTGAGGAGAGCTGAGATTTCACAAAAGAAGTGATGGATTTGCCTGGCAGAGCAGTAACGTAGGTTCATAGTGTATGTAACATGAATCAGGGCATTGAGCAGAGCACACGACCAGGTTCCTGTAACCATGGAAGCGGAGACTGTGGGGCGCATGAGCATTGAGTAATGGAGAGGGTGGCACACAGCCACGTAGCGGTCATAAGCCATGACTGCCAGGAGAAGGCACTCTGCTCCCATGAGTAACATGAAGAGGAAGAACTGAATTCCACAGCTAGTAAAAGAAATGTGGTTCCTCCCAGACAAGAAGTCAATGGCTATCTTGGGGACAAAAGCGGAGCTGTACAAGAGATCGATGAAGGAAAGCTGGCTGAGAAGAAAGTACATAGGCGTATGGAGGCGAGAGTCCAGACCAATGAGGAGGATCATCATCATGTTTCCTACAGTGGCCACCAGGAATCCAAGGAAGATGAGTGTGAAGAGGAGATTGGGCACTTGAGTATGGTGAAACAGTCCCAGAAGAATAAAATCTGTTCCAGTGGTCTGATTGCTCCATTTCTCCATTCCCTCATCTGATTCATTACCTTGGATAGAGAGTTAGATATCTATCTTGCATTATGTACTCAATGTCATTAAGACTCCACACTCATTCTGCAGTGTGTCAAATTCTCCCTCCTGCAGAGAGGTGTGTACCATGTGTCCTGATTACTTTTAACCCTGCCTTTAACACACAAACATGATTATCATTGAAATACTATTCATACTTAAGATGATTCACAAATCTAAATATAAGCAACCTTCAGGCTTTAGGTTGCAAATTTAATCTTGTTGAAAAATGCAATGATTCCAATAAATAGAATTTGATTGAAGAGCCGGGAGCTGGTGGCTCATGCCTATAATCCTAGCTACTCAGGAGGTTGAGAGCTGAAGATCGCAGTTCAAAGCCAGCCCAGGCAGAAAACTCTGTGAGACTCTTATCTCTAATTAACCACCAGAAAACTGGAAGTGGTGCTGTGGCTCAAAGTGGTAGAACATTAGCCTTGAGCTGAAGATCTCAGGGACAGAGCCCAGGCCCAGGCCCCACAATGGAGGGAGGGGGGAAAAATTTGATTAAAGACATAAGCACTCACATATATCTATCCACATATATCTAAATTAAAATATCAAACACATAAGCCTAAAACAATTCTGCAGGTTTGTTTAGTCCTGATTTACAAAAGCTAGAAGGGGAATAAATAAGATAATGACTATAAATTAACAAGCAAGTACCTGTTTTAAGTATACCAATCTGAAATGTGTTCAATATTTTATAGTATCATTTTGACTATATAGCAGGCTATCAAAGGAACATTTCTTTTCAAAAATGAGTCTCAGGAACAGCATGCTATTTATGCAGATTTTCTGAGTAAGTAAGAATATGGGACATGGTTGCATCTAGATTCAGCTAAATCCCATGCATTTTAACCTCCCCATATTATGTATATGGTCTTTAAAAGATAACTCTCTTAAACTATTCTCTATTAGGAAATTGAGAATGTGTGGAGTTGGGTTTACCTTTCTTATTTTTTTAAATATAAAAAGATAAGATCCTACAAAAAGAACAACAACAAACCCAAAAGGATCCTAGTATCACACAGACTGCTAGCAGGTCAGGTTCAGATTGTGACTACTTACTCAGATGAATGGTGAAGCTGTGAAGAATATGAAGGCCTCAGGAAATAGATCTCTAGGCTTAGTGATGACCATCCTGTCTCCCAGCATCTGTGATCTACAAACACTTAACCATTCCACACAGAGGCTTCTGTGCTACACGAAGCCATGAGCTGAGATTGGTTCCATTTGGTTACGTGCAGAAGTAACTGTTTAAGATGGTCCTCAAAGGCATGTCTTTAACACACGCGTATCTACATACTAAAGAAACTAAATTTCACACACCACCTATGATATTAGGTTTGAACCCAGAAAAGTGTGATTAAAGCAAATGCCAGCAGCAATCCACACTGAGATGCTTCTTGCATCTAGAAATCTGACATTGTATTATACAGTCCTACATGGAAAGTTTATCCTTTCTTCACAAGTTCAATCTATATGTCATGTGAATTCATAATCAAATAAATTATATTCATGTTACATAGTATAAATCTAGATGTTACCAATTTGAATTCCTCAACAGAAGCTTTTAAGCTACCAGATTGACAAAATGCTTTTCCTACCTCTTTAAACACCAGGATTTTTTTTTTTTTTGCTCCTATGCCCTCTGAGATTTGCACATTTGGAGAGACTGTAGACAGGCATTAAAATTGTGCAGGCTGGAGTTATGGCTAATTCTTTCCCACATTTTGACAAAGGATGCTAAGATCCCAAGAATTGGCAGTTTGTCCTGTTCATCTCCTTCAGAGAATAGCCTCATAATAAGGATATGGCCGTGATCGCACTTGTTGTTTTTACATTTCTATACAATATTACCTTAGCTCATATTCAAATAATTTTTACACATGTCCTTACATATGTAATTGAAAATTATTTACAGATCTGAGATTAGTTTGTGTTTCTTCTTTAATTCAATTTGATATAAATTTTAGAATTTTATAATCTGAAATGATAAAGATCCATCCAGGTTTATATCAAATGGTTTCCTTGTACATTTTAAGCACTAAGAATAAAAAGTTAAATGTTCATTCATTAATGTTTAGATACACCTTCTGGTCAATGGTATACTTTTCAACATCATAAGATATTATACAATTTGTGTAAGTAACAATTTAAGCCTATAAACATTTTCAAAAGTTAATTTTACTTTGAATATATGGAAGGAAGGAATAATTTTGTATGTAAATATAGTTAATAAATTTGCATTCACAATTTTCTTCTAATTATAACTTCCCTGGGTCATTTTCATCCCTCCTTATTAAATAGTATAGGAAGAATACTTGACATCAGTCATGTTGTAAATACATAAAATTTGTATTAAAAGACAGTTATTGATATCAGTTCCACTTATATTTAAAGTGACTTGAGCGTTGAATGAATTACTGTGTAACATCACTTCCAACTGTGTTGAAAAAGCACAGATGATAATATTGAATCAAGTAACTGCTCTTCTAGTCAGAAAAATGCTGTGGGGTCCTCACCATGGATAACATTCAATTAAACATTTAAAATCAGTTCTATATTCTAATACATTTTAAGTATAAATGGTTACCTGTTATTTTTCCTCTTCTTCTGAAGACATTATCAAAAATTTGTTTATGTAAAAGAAAAGATCAAGTTATTTAGAGATATTCTTTTTCCTGTGTTTTAGGACCTTCTCTTACCAATTAACTAAGCTTTAAATAGGCCAGAAACCTCCCTGGTATAGAAATTTGGGCCAAATCATCACCTACCTGCATAGTCATCAGGGGAAAGTATCTTGTTTGCCACTCTGCTCCCTTAGGTAGGCTGTAGCATAATTACTCTATTGTCCTTCAAATGCCCTAATTAAACATACCTCTACTCTGGAAATAAGTACCAAAAACATCAACCGGTCATTTAAATCATTTTATCATCCTATGCCTCTGAACAGACAAATATGCTTGTGGCAAAATCTCAGTTCCGAATTTTGCTCCTGTCAGTTTGAATTTAACAGAACTGGGTTGATTATCTGTATTTCTGGTTTTTATTCTATTTGCTGGGAATGCATTCCAGGGCACCCTTCCACTGACTTAACACTCCTAAGTAGCTTTTTATGCTTGTAGAAAAGTCAAATTTTATAAAGTACTCTTTGGTTCTCTGGTATATGTGTGTGTGTGTGTGTGTGTGTGTGTGTGTGTGTGTTTAAAGACATGGGCCTCAGGGCCTCAGACATGTTCATTCCCACTTGAGCCATACCTCCAGATGCTTTTGCATTGCCCATTTCTAAGGGAGGATCTTCTTTAATGTCTGGGTCGGCCTACATTCCTCTTTTTTCGGACTTCCCTGTGTCACTAGGGATGACAGATGTACTAAATCACTTTGCTTCTCCCATAGGTGGAATAATGGGTACATGGCCTCAACCCTACCATTAGTTGACAAATCTTGCAAACTTCATATAGAAAACTGAGAAGGTATTGACATGAATATTGTGGAGTTTAGTTAGTATAAAGTAAATTGATTATTGAAAATTTCCTGGGACAGTGAGCCATGCTTGGGTGATGCTACAAGTTTATACTTGATATTTTGAATCATACGAATAAGTATGATGAAATGAATAACTTCATCCTATTTTATCTGCTGGTGTCATCAAACCTATAAGTTAAAGACTTACATGTGGGTGAACATTTTAAAAATTTAATTTATTTTAAAAACTAATATGAGACTTCATTTTCACATTTTAGTTTTCTCGTATGTTTCAATTTTCTTGTTCTTTTTAAATCTGCAATACATGTTTGTACCCTTAACTTGTACACTTAAATTGCACACTTAGTGTTTGTACACTTATTAACTGTGAAATTTTCTTCATTCAATTTCATTGTTTAATTTGATCTACACATGGTATGAGGTGTTTTTCTATATGTGTAATTTTGGTCAGGGAGTTACCTTGATCTGGGGAATGAAATGCATATCTGGGTATGGAATTTGGGGGGAGGAATTGGGTAGCACAAGGTTAGTTGAGGTCACGAGAGCACAAAGTGATGATATTAGGGCGTGCTGGTTTTTAGGGTATGTGTGGGACAAATACATTTTGCAAGTTTATATGTGTATAATATGCAAAGCTCTGGTTATAATTCACTGATTATTCTCTGAAATAACAGGCAGAGCTCCAGGTATGTGCCTTCCACATTTAGAAGATAATGAATTTCCATATCAATCATTTCTAATTTTATTATCTTATGCTTGCACTTTGTAAGTAAGCAAGCTACCACTTGCGTCATGCCTTCCAAACACGTGTTTTGGCGGGGGGGGGGGTGATAGTTTGAATTCAAGGCCTAATTCTTTTTTTTTTTTTTGTAGTAGTAGTAGAATGTAATTTTTTTTGTGAACATACTGTACAGAGGGGTTACAATTACATGGGCAAGATAATGAGTACATTTCTTATCAAGCATTGCAGCCTCCTCCTTTGTTAGCCTTCCCCCCCCCCCCCCACCCAATCCTCCCCCCCCCCACCAAAGTTGTAAAGTTCGTTTTCGACATGACAGCTTGTACTTCTCATTGTTGCAATGGGTCCACCTGTATCCTTAAACGACTTGTTTTTCCCCCTCTCCTCTACAAATTATACCGACATCAAATATAGTGAAAGCAAGGGTTATACTGTGGGGAAGGGACATACAAAACAACAAAGAAATAATCTTATAAATGCGTTACAAACAAATGCATGAAAGAAAAATACCTTTAAATACATATCTAAGGGTTCAAGGCCTTATTCTTACCAGACAAATTCTTTACCACTTGTGCTGTATCTCTAGGCTATTTTTTCCTTTTTCTGTTTGCTTTAGTTATTTTTTGAATGTATTTTGACTGAACCATAATCTGCCCATAGTTATGTTTCCCATGTAGCTGGGATGACACATGAGCTACCATGCCCAGGTTATTTAGATGAGGTGGAGTAT